CTCTACAAGACTCAGGGTATGTTTGGCACAACTAGTTGAAAAGGTACTTTTGTGAGCTTTTTAATAACTGTTAGCTTTTAGTGACTGAAAAGATCTTAAAAAGAAAAGGTGGTAGCTGTTTGGTAAAAAGCTGACTGTTTGATTTAGTTCGGTTTGCTATACAAGCTGTTAGGATTAATTCATACTAAAAGTCACGGGCTTTTTTCATATGCTACTCTCTGTAGCATATAAAAAAGATCTTTTAATTTTTGAAAAGCTCTTAACATTTGTCATGCCAAACATATAACTAGAAGCTTTTAGAGACTTTTTGAACAGTACAAAAGCTAGAAGACAGAGACTTATGCCCGCCAAACATAGCCTTAGGTTCAAGACAACGATATCCATTATAAACAGATGCATAGCCAATGAAAACGAAATGTCACCCGAAATTTTGATGAAGTAAGAAGCAGATATATTTGGAAAACAACTGCACCCAAGCACACACACAAAAAAATAGTCAAAAGATTTTTGAAAAAGTTTAACATACGAAGAAAAGTCACAAAGTACAGGGGAGGGTAAATAATTAATAATATATGCAGCGGTGAAAATTGCATCAACCCAAAAATGACTAGGAATAGAGACATCAAGAAGCATAGTCATAGTGAGTTCTAAAATTAAAGATGCTGATGTTTACGTTCAGTCATCGCATTTTGTTGAGGTGTGTCGGGACAAGACTTGTGAAAATAAATCCCATTTTTATCAAAAAAACGGATGCCATATTAAAATTAACAAATTCACCCCCTTCATATCTTTGAAAGACTTTAATTTTAGTATGAAAAAGATTTTCAACTGAAGCTTTTAAATTTTGAAAATGATGAAAACTTCAGCCTTTTTGCGCATGGGATAGAGCCAAGTAAAGCACGGACAATCGTCAATAAAACAGACATATATAATATTTAAAACCCAAATTAGATAAAATGTGATACTGCCAAACATGAGAATGAATTAATTATAATTAAAGGCATAAAACAAGTGTGACTTATATCCGAAAAAGGTAAACGTTGAGATTTGCCTAAGCGGCAAGAAATACAATCATGAGAGAAACTAGAGCTACTGCAAATATGTTGTTAGCTATGTAATAGACGTAAAATAGAATCGCCACAGTGGCTTAATCTACAGTGCCAAATAGGTCCGATGTAGTGAGGGATGACAAAGCTAGCTGTGGCGGTGGACTGAGGATGACTGGATAAAGATGGTCATGACTAGGTGCTTGAAGATGGACCGCCCCCGAAAGTTTGTCCTTAACAAAAAAGGAATTTTTATCAGAAGTTATCACACAATTGTTATTAGCACAATTTTTTTGTATGGATAATAAATTAAAGGAAAAATTGAAAATAATAATCTCAACTATTGCTGGTCTGCTAACAATAATCCCAACTATTGATTATTTTTGTATAATCCCAACTATATGTACCGTCCGCCAATAATGGTCCATGACCGGATATTACCTGCTATAACAGGTGAATTTTAAAAGAAATTAAGCGTAAAAATTAAAATTTGTGATTATTTATAGGGATTACCTGCTATATCTCTTCTCATCCACTTTAGAAACTATAAGAATTTATTTATAACCGATCACGTCGGACCATTATTGGCGGAAGGTCCCTAAAGTTGGGATTATTCTGAAATAATCGATAGTTGAGATTATTATGAGCGGACCGCTAATAGTTGGGATTATTACTATCAATTTTTCAAAAATAAATTTAAGGTGAGGGACATGAAAAACCGATTTTTAAAGTAAGAGGACGGCTAGAAGAATTTAAATGAATATCTCCAACACTAACAATGGGAAGTTAAGAGCCATTAGCAACACTAACAGAAAGTGGTCTAGTGTAAAGTAATTTATTAACTAAAATACCTTCTGTACGAGTCATGTGAGCAGAAGCTCCAGAGTCAGGATACCATAAAGCAGCATTTGAAACAACATTGGAAGTCAGAAGAGCTGGCACAGAAGGTTGGCTAAAACGAGGGGGATACTGAAGAGCAGGGTGACCTGCAGAGAAACAAATTTGACAGACTGCGGAAGATGGAACAGGTCCAAGAATACCCTCAGCCGATGGGAAGCCTACATTGCTAGAGTGAGTATCACAAATAAAATAGGGATTAACATTAAAGTTAACAAAACAGAATTACACGCAGAACCTGAAGTGTTCGAACGTGGAGGCTGCACCCCCTGCATCTGAACCGGCTGTTGACCATAACCATGAACCGACGATGTCGATTCATGCACACATTATTGCTGTTGTCCGACTCTGTCACGACCTCCTCTGCACCCCCTACCACGATAAAATTGTCCTGACTGTTGCTGGCCAACAGCGGCATTAGCAGCACATGCCAGGTGGCCGGCCTCCATCTCCGGTTGGCGTTGGTAGAGAACACGTTGCTCTTGCTCCAAGAGACGAGGCTGCAGGACATCGAAGAGAAAATTTTCGAGAAATAAAGAGACCGTGGTGACTGGATATTCATACTCAGGACCCAGGCCGATCACAATTGATTGAAGTAACTCTTTATCCGACACGGGGGAATTAATAGCAGCAAGGGAGTCAACCAAATTCTTGATATCTCTCAAACAATGTTCCATATATTGATTTTCTTTCTTTTTCATATTGGACAACAAACGTTTTAGTTCCATACACCGGGCAGACATAAATCTAGTTTGAAGCCTATCTCAAATAGAAAAGGAATGTTTTAAATCATGGACATCCACCAAAACATCACGAGAAAGAGTAGCAAACAACCAGCAACGAATTGTTTGATCTACTCACAGCCAATGATAAACTTCGTACTTCGAATTTGACAATTAGTAAAATCAACAGTGTACATAGAGGGTACCTGAATGGAACCATGAACAATCCCAAAAAGACCTTGGGAGACCAAGAATGATTCGAATTGAGTGAGCTAGGTGAGGTAGTCCTTGTTGTTAAAGTCTCACACCAGACATCTCTGAAAGAATTAAACACTATATTAAGATTTGAGTTACTCCTCCTATCAAGTTGACCCTTTGGAATGGAACCCCCGGGCTTAACAGGGTATCGGAGCCAAATCGATCCATGGTGTGGCCCCCCTATAAAAATGATGACACAAATATAAAAAAAAATGACAATGACGAACTGATGAAAAAATGAATGACGACACGATCCCAACAAAATGTCTGGTCGTGAGGAGGGGTGTTAAAGTCTCACACCGGACATCTCTAAAAGAATTAAACACTATATTAAGGTTTGAGCTACTCCTCCTATCAGGTTGACCTTTTAGGATGGAACCCCGGGTCTTAACAGTCCTCTGCTGCCTTGAGTTTGATGGTGACAATTTGTGAGACAGTAGTTATATGTGAAATCGACTGAGCAAGGGACGCCATCAGAGATCCAAATGGCGGCTGGTCATGCGGCCGAACTATGCCGAGCGATCCAGAAAAGGTCAAGCGCGCCAAAGAATGAAGATGCAAGCAGTGACGGAGGGTGAGATTTGCCTAAGATTGCATGCTGGTCGTCTGCCACAGAAATTAAACCGCGGTGGCAGCGACTAAAACAGAGAGTATGGCCCGACCGTGGAGAACAAATGCAACAGCAGGGAAGCTTGAAAACAGTGTCGACGAAATGGGCCGCAACACCTGTGAACCAGTGGCACCTGAAACTGCTGCAACAGAGACCGGCGTAGAGGAAGACAGCTGCGTCGTCACGCTCGCAGTGGTGGTTGTGGCCTCCGGCGCCGTCGTAGTAACGGATGCGGCGGAAGTAGTCATGGCGACGACTGTGACGTGAGGAGAAAGAGAGCTGGAAAAAAATTATTAGGTCTTGACTCTTAATACCATGTGAAATAATAGGAAAAGATACTCTCAAAAGGAGCCGTGACAGATATATTTATAATAAATAACAATTGTCAAAATACACAAAGATTCCTAAATAAGGTATACTTTTAGATAATCCATTCTACATCTAAAACCATCCTCATGTAGGAGGTCTTGAGTGGAATTAAGTTTCCAAGGAGGTGAATTTGAGAGAAGTTTTTCAAATAATGATCCTTTAGTATGCCCCATATGGGACTAGATTGAATGGTCGTGCAAGCAATTTTTCGTCTAGCCTCAACTGGCACTATGAGAGTTAGCTTCTTAATCAGAACTTGACGATGTTTCACGAATCGGTCGAAGTCAATCAGTTGAGAGCTTTTCTTTGTGTTCGGTGGTGTATAGATGGACGATGGTAAGCTAGTGTATTATTTGAAATATCAGGATTTACTTCTCTTAAGAGCTTAAATGGATTTTCTGGGAACCCGAAATTAGTTTGTTTCTAAGAAAAAGAAAAAGAAAATGGTTGGGGCGCAATTTAATACTCCCTCCGTCCGGTTAGAAGGTTCCCGTTGACGGGTTTAGAATGTTTGATTGACGATAAAACAACTTAATCCATGTTCATATTCTGATTATTTTTAGTAAATAAAAGTTACATATTCAGTTACTAAATTAAAATCGATATACAGCCTAATAAAAAAATGTAAATTTGATAAAAAAATGATTTATAAAGTAAAAAATTGGAAATGATTTAAGTTGATCGTGTGAATAGTGAACGAGAACCTTAATGGGATAGGGAGGAAGTAGTTACTACTACGTACTGCCTCCGTCCCGTAATTAAGTTCCTACTTTCCTTTTTGGGATTGTCCATATTAAAGTTCCTACATCAAACCTTTCCTTATTTGCCAAATGATTTACACCAAAACAGTGCCGAACAGTGCCAAACAGTGTTCAAACAGTGCACTCCACAGTAAAGTCAAATTTATTTATTAATATGTGTGAAGTCAAACCAGGAACTTAATTAAGAACGAGAGGGAGTACTGGTTATTCAAAAAGGGAAAGTGTGCAATCGAAATTTAAAAAAGAAGGGGGGAAAGAAAGGACAGTAGTTGGAAATAAATTTGGCAGAAAAAGTTGGATTTGTACGTCCAAATAATTGGGTATATATAAAGCGTTAGCGAGGTAGTGGTTTCCCAGAAAAGGGGAAAAGAAGGAAGGGAAGGGTGAGAGGCAGAGAGAGAGAGCAAAGCAAACTCCGTATTATTTATTATATACGTATCCCACCCAAAATTAAGTTGGCTGCGGCCGGCACATATACATACATACATACTCCGTATAAAATTAAGAATTGATGCACGGAGGGGGAATAGGGGAAATATAAAGGGCGGGCGGAGGTGAGCAGAAACAGAGTAGGTGGGGAAATGGCAAAAACCACATCAAAAAGGGACAATAGCAGTGGCAGCGCCGGCGCCGGCGTTGCTAATAAAGTGAAACGAACGCGGAAATGCGCACCCAGAGAGTCTCCTCCGCAGCGCAGCTCCGCTTATAGAGGTGTCACCAGGTACGTACGGATTGGGATTGATCGATTATTATTATTATCATCTTCAATTCATCATCATCATGATCTGCAGGCACCGGTGGACCGGGCGATATGAAGCTCATTTATGGGATAAGAACTGCTGGAATGAAGCACAGAGTAAGAAAGGAAGACAAGGTACGTAATTAATTAGATTTGATGATTCCTTCACTCCTTTGTTTCGATCTTCATCTCATGCATCATCTCTCTAGCTACATACTTAATTAGCTTATTCTATGCATAATTATTTAATTAGTTGCAGTGTAGTTGAGCTATATGTACGTATGTATATAGAGATACTTAATTATTCGATCAACCACCGTAAGTAATCACGTATGCGTGTGTGTATTAATTGATTTCTTTTTTCCCCTGGCCTGTTACTGTACATACATATATACATACGTTGAGCGAGCTGATGATGATCGATACCATGAAAATGCAGTATATTTAGGTATGTACTATACCACTGGCCTAGCTATATATACCTTCATTAATTTTATTTTATTCTATACATTTGATATTTTATTACTGAGTTTTCGAATATACTCCCTCCGTCCCATTGGACTTTGCCAACTTCCCATTTTTTTCCCAAAAAATTTTGTCACTTTCCTATTAAAACAATTAATTTGTGTTTCTGCACATTTCTCTCCCCTCTTCACAAATCTTAACCACACATTTTTTACTGTTCTTATTTCTCACCTACTTTGCACTTGACAAAGTCCACCGGGACGGAGGTAGTATGTACACATACATACATTAATACGCACACATATATACTTCGTACGTATGTGATATGTATATAAATCAATTTTACTTATATTAATGATCTCTCTATATAGATATATATAAATCTTTTTAAATTTGTTAATAAAATCAAAGATGGTGGGCGGTAATATAATTGGGCTTATGCAGGCGCGTATGACGAAGAAGCAGCAGCAGCACATGCATATGACTTGGCAGCATTGAAGTATTGGGGACAACATACCATTCTTAATTTCCCTGTACGTACTATCGTATATATGCAAAACCTATAATATATATCGATCCATTCATCATTTCGAGTATTTTTTATTTTTCCAGTTAACCCGAATTCTAGCTACTTATAAAATGCAGCTTGATGCTTATGAGAAGGAGATACAGGAGATGGAAGGCCAGTCCAAAGAAGAGTATATTGGTTCTTTGAGAAGGTACCTACTTCTATTTATTTTCTTCCCGGCATTCAACTACGTACCTAATAGGCTAATACTCCGTACGTACTTTTTTCCACAGGTTTTGACTTTCCTTTTTTATTTTTGATACATCCCAAAGTCACTTACCTTTTTGTTTGACTTTCACGTTTGCCAATGCACAACTTTGACTGTAATTATATTTAATTATGTATTAGCAAACATTATAAAAAGTTGATATTTTGGAAATTCACATTGATAGGAGTTCAATAACATTTTATACGTAATAATTTGATTATGTATATTAGTAGAAAATCATGGCCAAAGTAAGATCTGTGAATAGTGTAAAAATCACAATGATGCAAGAATTATAGAACGGAGGAAGCTAAGTATTTTTAGAAGTAATTAACATTCCTAAATGACAATTTAATCATTAAATATATCATTTAATTATTGTTTAAATAATCATGTCATTTTGTAATGATAATCTCTAAGCGGGACAGAAGTAGTAAGACATGACAATTATGTATTGCACTAGTAATTATAAAAAGACCGGTTAAAAAAATATGGTCCTAGCTAGCTAGGCTCCCACTCGTTCTTTCTATACAAAAAAATGACTATTGTAACACTTATTTTATAGCATTGTGGATTTTGCTATAATACAATATCTATTGTAACATTATTGTACAAAAAAATGCTACAATAACATGATAAATTACTACAATGCATTTATTGCTTGCTAAAAATGTTACATTTGATATATTGTCATATTTTTGACACTTATTGCAACATTTTGCATTAGCTACATCCTCCCATCAGTGACTATGATTACAATGATCAAATCCATTAATACTCCTTTAATTTCACCACTAAATATATATCTAAAATTAATTATATTCCTCATCAATTAAATCTTAAATTGTGGATCACTCATGGCCGTAATACTCTGTAATACGGTTCTAACTTGCAGCACAACTGCATCATAGCCGGATTACGGGTGTCAATTCATATCACATCCACAATATAACCATATCAGTCTGCATCATAGCCGCGCAACGTAACTGTATTACACGCCAACACCATTTTCAGCTCTTTTTTTCACTTGTACGGAGTACTTTTTTATCTCATTTTTTTCGCCTGTGAAAACAGAAACATTGTACTCCCCCGTCCCTAAATAAACTTTCAAATTTTCTTTTTTGTCCGTCTCAAATTAAACTTCAATTTCACTTTCTCTTCTGGACAAAGATTTTGTGGTTCACAACATTTCTTACACATTTCTTTCTTCTTTGCACAATGTAACTCTCCACCACACAATACCGAGTATCTTAAATTGTGTGCTCTGCCGTTTTGGAAGTTTTATTAGGGACGGAGAGAGTACTACCAATATGATATTTGATCCTCATCAAATAGGGCACAACAAATAAGATGCACACATAAAAAAAGTTGCATCGATCAACAACAAATAACATGCATCATACTCCGTAACATAATTATACCAAAAAAGAATATAAAACATAGCAATATAACATGTGATTGTTTCCCCTTAAACGATTATCTTTAATATCAATCGTGGTGGGCTAACCGCAAAAACAACGTCGTACTCATAATCATTTTCTTACTAATTCATATGAATTTAATATACAACAAATTGAATTTAGGATCTAAGAGTCAAAGTGCGTATCTCGCAATTTAGCTAGAGACAATTCTTAATAGAGCTAGAATTGGCCAAGCCTAGCCAGGGAAACTTCAATTATTTAAAAACGATATAACATCAATAACAGGAGTAAATTAAACCATGAAAAACATGCAAAAATAGGAGTAGATGTTTAAAATTCCAAAAATAGTAGTTTTTTGTGATTGGACAAGAATACTCCACAGGGGTTTTAGGCTTGCCATTGCCATTGGGCTACCACCGCTAGTTGCCACCATCCGTCACCGTTGCTCCACCACCGCCACAAACATTCCAAATTTCCGCCGCCACTACCGGACCTTAGTTATGAAATGGACCTAGCTAGCTAGGGGGCAAATTTAGTTTTATTTAGGTCGTATTAAACATAGACTCTCCTATTTAGGGAGGAGTATATTTTAGGACAATTACTTTAGGAAAAAACATGGTGTTTTGTTCCCAAAATTTAATTAGCATGATGAGACGGGAGGTGATGCTTTCGTCATGATCGTCATAAGAGAGAAACCTAGCTACGAGTGTAGATAGAATTGCGGCCCGGTATGAAAGCAAAGATTGATGATGGATCGATAGAGAGAGTTTATAGAGAAGTTTTTAATGATTATTGCTAATCTTATTAGCAGTAGCTGATAATTACTTGTATGTGTTATTGATGTTACTTTGGAAAAGCTAAGTAAGGATATACTACGTATGTTATTTGTGACAACAACGATATAGTGCGTGTATCTATTTGCAGAAAGAGCAGTGGATTTTCCAGAGGTGTTTCAAAATATCGTGGTGTAGCAAGGTAATGTGTAAAAATATTATCAATCATGCTTTCGGTACACGTTTTTTGTACACATGATTTGACCAAATTGTTAGTGCGCAGACATGATAATTTTTTTTGTCTATGTCATAGATAAAAAAAAGTTGTCAGTGCGAAAAACAATTGCAAAAAAAATGGCGTGTAAAGTGACGTGTACAAATAACATTTTCCAAATATTATTCCAATATGCACAATTAATAGAAGTTGTATGTTATGTACTTTAATTTGTACCATTATATATTAATATAATTTGAAAAATTCTATTTGGACAAGAAATTTTTACACACTTGACACACATTTGTACGTGATTGTTTGTGCACACATACAACCTGTACACCTTCTAATTGCTTGTGTACATGGCATCTCGGCAACTTGCGCAACAATTTTCTATGTACAAAGACAGTTACATACATATGTGTGTCAAGTGTGTACAAATTTTGTGTACACCAAAAATTGTTGATACTTCATCTGTCCCTTATAACTTTGTCATCTTTCCCTTTTTGATTGTCCTAAAAACTTTGTCACTTCCTACTTTAATCAATTAATTTGTGGTTCCTGTTATTTCTCTCTTTTCGCAGAAAACTCAATCGCACCGTATCGTTTTTACTTTATTATTTTTTGTGTCAGTTAAATTCCACCAATTATTAACCGATGGAGGGAGTATAATTTTAGATTGAGTGCGTCAATCCACGTACATGCAGCTAGCATATATATTCAAGTTGAGTAAAGAGTGAGTAACATGCATTGACAATGGTATAGATAGTCAGATACATATGTATCTCTTCGCGCGATCGATCGCCTAGCTTGAAAATGCTAATTAAAAAAGTCGCTGTGATATAGCTGAGATGAGATTAATTATACGGGGCGGCCCCTTTAATAGTAGATTTCAATGTTGTTGGTATATACCTGACCTGCATGCACAAGTTGTTGGGGAAATACTACTTCTACACGCAATTAATTGAACCTTGAAAATGCGGGTGGCCAATACTCCTTTTTGTCAACAAACCATTACGAGTGAGTGATAATTAATTAATTTGCAACCCCAACACCCTCCCAGCCACTTCTCAACACCATATCATCATGCATGACCTCATCCATTTACATTTGTAGTTAATTAATTACATCTGTTTCTATTATTTTAATTTATGGTTAGTTAATTGTTTCTACAATTGATTAACCACATTATAATTGGCATTAAACGTATAGTACCTACGTGTAGCAGGCACCATCACAACGGACGATGGGAAGCTCGCATTGGAAGGGTCTTTGGCAATAAATATTTATATCTTGGAACTTATGGTAAATCAAAGTTTAGTCTCGCATGCTCCCATTGCAACTTTTTTCAAAACACATTATACTTTGCTTCTTATGCATACCTACACACACATATATATATGCATGTGTCACACACAAAAAAATTGTTGATCCCAAAATCATTCTCTTCACTAAACAAAAAAAACGGGTTGTGCACAATTAAACAATTCAGTCAACGTGTACACAAAACGTGTATACAAAGCACGATTGTTTCATATATACTGCCATAATAGAGTTGGGGTTGATAGGGTCATAGGCAGGGGCGGAGACAAGGGAGGGTCAGGGTGGTCAGCCGACCCCCCCTAAAAGTTCAAGAATGTAGAGCTCTGAAATACCTTCGATTTGATATATTATGGGTCCCGTAACTCATTACGAGTAAAACGTTATGACTTTTGGAAAAATCAGCATCATCTTAGTTTGAAATAAGCAAATTTTGACGTGTGACGTTAATTATACTCTTAAATTTAAAAATAAAACACCTTATTCAGTCATTAGTTGTGTGAACATTATGATACATTACATATATATCAATACATTAACTGAAAAGGGCTCATTAAACACCATTTATCTCAACTACATATGAAATATTTCATTCAAATATTGTATAATAACTATTCATCATTTTGATACTGTATAATTAAACTCCGACCGCCCTCACATACTTTTCTGGCTCCGCCCCTGGTCATAGGGAAGCAATTAAGCTAAGGGTAAGCAAAAGTTATAAATACGAATTGAAGTATATATTTTCCGAAGCAATCATATGACTCTCGCCTAGTAATTAAAGGGTAAATTAAATATTTAAGTATTTATAAAATGACGATGAAGAGCAATTCTTGGTGCATGGTGAATTAAGTTCCTCATATATAGTCACTTTTGTTTTTTAAATTAAAGAACGATTGTTCAATTCATAATACGACCGAGAGGGCAGGGCAGTGAAATATACGTACATACTCCGTAAAAGCTAGCTAGCTAGCTTAATTATGAATGGATTTATGTTTTGTACACACATTATACGTAGTATTTATATTCGTGTACTTGCACGCACATTTTACGGCACATAATTTTTCAACAATCTGTAGTGGTAACCTACGGTTTTCAAAGGACTAATATAGTAATGATACTCGATTGATCTCTAATTTGTTTGCCTACCCAAACTGCCTTTATAGTTTTTTATTAAACATAGGACCGGCCTTATATCTAATTCCAAACACATACTTACTCCATATTTTATTATTTTTTCGGGACATTTAATTAATTGGCTCCCTAACTGATCTTGTAGTGTATGTGCTATTAATAGGAGACATGCAAGGTGGGTGTGGTCATCAACCCACATTTACCCACCCACCCATTTGTACGCTGCATTATATAGTACTACGTATTTGAAATCCTCCTTAATCGAATATTTAACAAAAAAATCACAATTAAAAGAAAAGCAAAATCATTCCGTTGCATGAAAATAAAAACATTTACGGGATCATTTTTAGCTAAAAATCAAATAAACAAATGGTATGTAATAGAACCACTGCACACATGAAGTACGGAGTATTAATTAATTACTTGTCCCACAATCTTTCATTAATTATATATATTCCTCGAATCGCTCTTCATATATATTATGGAGTATTAGTGGGTGGGGGGAGGAACGCTAGATATCTAGATTAGCTAGCTTAGATAATTTTTGATACATTTGTATTGTTACTTTTGGATGATTTTTAATATATACTTACCTTTCATCCAAAAAAATACCGAGTATTCATATTTATATATTCCAAACGTTCGTTCATTTCCCATTTTTATATTTTATTTGTTTTCCTTTTACAATTTCAATACATCCATGATTTAATTTTGTTAGCCTAAATAGGATTAAAGTTTGCCTAAAAAGAACAAATAGGACTGAAGCCTTAAATCATTCACCAATAGGATTAAACCTTAATTTTCTACCTTACATACCCCTAAAGGTATTAATTCATAATGAAATTTTTTAATTCATAATAAAATTGTAAAAAAATATAAAATAAAAAATTTCAAAAGATTTTTTTTGAATATTTTAAAAAAAATTCTCAAATTTTGCTGTAACGGGTCGATTATGTGATAAATATTGATTTGAACGTTTTTTAAAATTTAAGTGTTTAAGATTTGTTAATTAAGCCACTCACCTCATAAATTTTTAACACCAAGCGAATTTGTCATTCAAATTATATTGAATCTGGAATTGAATGTGCATTTTACTAGATGTCTTAGTTTTCCCAAATTAAATACTCCCCCATCCCTTTTTATTTAGCCAAACACTATTTTTCAAATCAAAGTTATCTGACTTTGACCGTTTATATATTTATACACGGTAATATTGATAATATGAAAATTAAATTTAAATGTTCTTTGTTAAAAATACAATTATAAAAGTATAAATTTATTAAATTTTCTCATAAATATATTAGTTAAAATAATGGATTAAAGTTTATCACTTTTGACCGGAAAAATCAAAGATGGCTAAATAAAATAAAGGGACGGATGTAGTATTTATATATAGGAGCAGATTAGATTTGGTACAAACTGTATTTATTGTACAAAACTCTGTACGATGCATCTTTACACTATTACATACATAATATTATGCGATGAAATGTACAATTGCATAAAAACGTTAAAAGTGTTGCACCCGAAAAAGTTTAATTTGATGACTCTGTGGCGGGGTAAGAGATAGTGCGTGCATACGTAATTTCCTGATAAATTAATTAAGTAAAGAATTATGGTGACAACTCCGGTACCTATTTAAAAAATGGGGTACCGTACCTACCATACATTTGATTGGTCCAAATCATTAAATTTCTTTTAATTTAGATTTAAATAATCCAACTGCATGATTCTGATTGGTCCATGTGGACAAAGGTACGGTACCTTATGGGTACCATAGAATCTACCAAGAATTATTACTTGTATAACAAATGAACCGGTGGGCGTAGCTCAACTGGTAGCAAGGGAGTGCCACAAGGGTTAGGTCTCGGGTTCGAATCCCGGCAACTGCGATGAGAGGTTACTATGTTGAAAAATGCATAGGGCCTCTGCAAGTACCGGGGACAGGGGCCCACTCTCTATCTGTCAGATTGTGATTATAGTCCAATTTACATCCTCCCATCGTGCCGTCCGGTCGGTGGTGGGGGGCCCTCAGGGATGGGGTGTCATCCTTTTTTTTTTGTATAACAAATGAAATGTATGACGTGGCATTGAATTGCATACAGCTACTCAAGAGGAAGCAGCGACGGCTTATGACATGGCAGCCATAGAGTACCGCGGGCTTAACGCTGTGACCAACTTTGACCTCAGCCGTTACATCAACTGCCTACCCCCGGACCAAAACTCCCACCCTCGCAGTGACGGCGTAAGTCAAGACGATGGGCCGCTGACCAGCCAAAAAGTAGGGTTGATCGGCTTCCTCCACCAACAAAGCTCCCCGGAGACTGCCTCTCCCCCGCCGCCTGATCAGAATTGTCCGACAACGCCACCACCACAAAGGCGGAGCTTCCCGGACGACATACAAACATATTTTGACTGCCACGAATTGAGCGGCTTCGCCGAGGAACACGACATCATTTTTGGCGACCTAAACACGTTTGAATCGTCTATTTTCCAATGTGTACTTGATGAGTAGCAGACATGATACTTGCATGCATGCACGCACGCACGCACCATCTCTCCTGCTTCAATCTCCCTTCTATTTTTTTATATTCTTAAGTACGTTATTTGTTTGGTAATTTAGAAAGAAATAATATACGTAATAGAGTATCATATCATATACGGAGTAATATAACACGATATAGAGGAATGTTCATGTCAGGCCGGCCTGACGGGCTGCTCCGTCCGGCCGAGCCCGTTTGGGCACCTTCCCGGTGGAATTTTTTGATGAAATTTTTTGAGCATGTTCCTCATCAAGTCTAGTTTGTCCATATCAAATTTCAGCTCAAAATTCGATCGGGAAGAGATTCAAATCATTTTTTGAAGTTGACTGCAGTTTTATATGTATATTTTGACGCAGTCAACTTCAGAAAATGATTTGAATGCCTTCCCGATCGAATTTTGAGCTGAAATTTGGTATGGACAAACTAGACTTGATGGGGAACATGCTCAAAAAATTTCATCAAAAAATTCCACCGGGAAGGTGCCCAAATGGGCTCGGCCGGACGGAGCATCCCGTCAGGCCGGCCTGATGAGAAGAGCACTCAACACGACTATATATAATATAGCTAGGGATTTTCACCTATATGTGCGATGACTCGGTTGAAAAACACAAGATAAGAGCGAGTTGTGTACGGTGAAATGTGGTCATTTTCATGCAGTTCTAGAGTTAACCTTACAAGATAAACTTTCCTAGTCTACCCTTGAGCCACCCCAACTCTATCCTCTCTAGAAAGGGTTATGCTTCTCTTCTCTACCTTGCGGGTAGAGAGCCTCTCAGCTTTACAACAAAGCTGCGCTCTCAATAATGACTTGGTCAAGCACCCCTCTCTTCTTCTTGATTCACGAATAAATAGCCTGCTGGAAGATATATATTCGTTGATCCTTCCTTTCCTTAGATGGTCGAGTAGTTAATGGAGGAACTTGCCTTAATATTTTTGACACATTTTCCTTCTATATGATTCCTTCGTACTCGAGCTCAATACATGAGTCAATCAATTCACTTTTCACAAGCAAGGCATCGTATCATCATATAAAAGGAAGTAATATATAAGCCACGCTCCATGACAATAAGATATTCATTTCATAAATGCTTCGGTCAATCAAGTCATGCCATGTGATCATTTATTTTAGCAAGTCAAGATACTAAAAATATTCATTTATTATTTTAAGTGGAAAGAGCTCTTCAATATCGTGTGGCCAATTAAAGAGCATCTCCAATGCTAAAACGTGAACGGTGCATACGTGGCATGAGAGAAAACCAATTAAAAAATAATAAATAGAATATCTCTCTCCTTATTTGAAGGATCGTGTATCATTTTGGTAAGTTTTTCTTCACAATGTCTAGATGTAGACATTGTGCTTGACATTGCAGAGGAAAACTTACCAAAAACAGATAAAACCGTGGAAAGAATGAGAGAGAAATGTCATAAATTCAATTTTTTGTGTCTATCTCTCTCATGCCACATGTGCACCGTGCACATTGTAGCATTATAGATGCTCTTTATTCACTTAGCAAGATCAAATGTGCTTCGGTCAATTATTATAAATGTAGCAAGATATTTACTCATGCAAAGATACTTTCCATAAGCTATATATGTTAACTAATTGAGTCAATTCCCTAAATAGGACTAAAAAGTGGCAAAATTGCACAAATAGGACTACATTTTTTAAATTCCCTTAATAGGACAATTTATGTGTTTTTGGACAAATATACCCTTGTAGCTTTTGAAATGTTTTAAAATTAATAATAAAATCATAAAAAAAAAAATAATTGAAAAAAATACTAAAAATAGTAAAAAAATAATAGAAATTTAATAAATTATTTTTTAAAAAAATCAAAAAATAAAATAAAAAAAAATCGTAAAAAAAAACATTACCACCCCTGCCACCCCCAGCACCACCAGCTCCCATCACTGGAGAAAAATATGCCAACATTTTAAATAATGCCATAATGATGGCATATTCAATGAAAATGTTGGCATATTGAAGAGTAATTATGCCATCTTTTTTGCATTTTCAGAAAAAGATGGCATTTTTTTTACCAAAAGTGGAAGAAATTTCACCAATCGGGGATGGTGGTGCTGGGAGGCGGCAGGAGGCGGTGGGAAAGGTATCCATAATTTTTTTCATTTTTTAATAGGTTTTTACTATTTTTTATTATTTTTTTAAAAAAATTTAAAAAATAAAAATTAAATATTTTATTTTATAAATATTTATAATTTTTTTATAATTTTTTTTACTTCTTTTAAATTTTTTTTTTACGTTTTTTATGATTTTATTATGAATTTTGTGGTAATGCATTTCATTACGAATTAATACTCTTAGGGGTATTTAGGGTGGAAAATCAATGTTTAGTCCTATTTAGGGAATTTAAAAAGTAGTAGTCCTATTTGTGCTTTTTAGGAACTCAGTAGTCCTATTTAGGGCAATTTCCGCAACTAATTCAATTGGGTGACCAATCCTATTATGGAAAGATATTTGAATTAAAGCATATCATAATCGTCAAGGTACGCAGATAAGGCATAATGAGAAGTTCGTTTTACAACACGCAATTGATGCGTTTTGGGATCGGCCTTTAACGGTTTTCCTAGCTTTAAGGTGTTATAAGTCTCAATTTTAGCTCAAATTATGTTTACCAGACGTTGGTTCGAGTTTTGTATTGTTTGGAGTCAAAATCAGGAAACTAGAGTCCGGCACCAGCGCTTGAGAATCATTCAAGAAAAATTGAAGAACATTCGAGAGATATTTGAGAGTTTTGGAGGTCTCCGGGAGGTTCACGACGAAGTTTTGGTGAAGGAGAGGCCTTTGGATCGATCACGGAAGTATCCGGGAGCATTCGGAGCAAGAAAACGAAGAAACTGACGAAGAAAGGCCATGCACGGCCGTGCCCAGCATTCAGGCACGCCGTGCGTGCCTAGAGATGATAGTCGACGAAGAATTAGCCAGGCACGGTCATGCCTAGCTTCAGGCACACCGTGCTTGAAGAAGAGAGCGACTCTTGGCTACCGGAACCCAGGCACAGTCGTGCCTGGCAGGGAGGCACGCCGTGCCTGGAAGCGAGAAACGGGAGTGTTCCGCAGGCACGGTCGTTCTTGGCGCCGTGCCTGACCCCAGAATTTCTAATTCAGTTCGAGTTCATCTGTTTTCTATAAATAAGGTCTCCATACTCCTATTTCAGGGGCTCCATAGAGAGGCCTATGGACGAGTTTTACGTTGTTTTTACGCAGTGTTCTTTAAGACCCTAGGATTATTTGTAAGTTCAATCTTTTTAATTAATGACAATTATTTATATTCATCCCAATTCTGTTGATTTATTAATTATGAGTTGTGAGTAGTTTAATTAGGGATTTGGGATTGATGAAGGGGTTAATCATGATATTTGACTAGTTTCTTGATGGATTAATTGCATGAATGCCGTTTAATTTGTGTTTGAATAATTTAATTGATATCTCTTGTAACCTAGAATCGCAACTAGAATTACAATTGCTTGTAAAATAAATTAAGAGAAATCTAGTTTATTCTAAGACACTTTCACACACATTTAATTGTTCGCTAAGGCCTAAGAGATTAGTAGCGATTAAGGGGCCGTAAGCTTGCTCGTTTTGGCAATAATTTAGAATTAGTCGCAGAGAGATCAGCCTGGACCCCTAAATTATTGTACTCTACGCCACGAGAGCAGTAAGAACTTGGTAATGATTAGTTTGGCTCAATTAAATTAATTTCATGTAATTAAGCCTGATCTGCCAGAAATCTGGTTACCCCGGAATCAATCCATGTTACCTTCGTCGTTAATTAGAGAGAAACCAATTTATTTTAATCGTTTAGTTGCAATTTAATTTTCCAAACCACCAATCTCGCACAATCGCTTTTATTTTACTTAGTTTAATCATAGAATTTAATTAATTCTTGATTCCAATTTTCCATTCCTGTGGAGACGATACTCGTAGTTACACCCTATACTACTATCTTTTTTAAGTGCGAGAAAACTCACATCACATAAACATGAAATTACATATCAAGTCATCTAATTATTATGCACAGCAATGACTTATATAGGGCAGAATTGAGAGTAGTTTTGACTTTTGTTGATAATAGAACTCATGGTAGTCTTGACAGAACCACAAGGCTTTAAGAGAAAAGAACACAACTATGGATCATCCACTTCTGGTAATCTTGACTTCTATATCAATACCTCACCCCTGTCTTCACCACCTATTTCACCTAGACGCCCTCCTGGCTTTCAAAATTTCCGCACTCCACCACTTTTCTCCTAAAATCAATCCACTCCACAAATCAATCTTCCCCCATTATTCTAGCTCTTTCAAAATGCCTCTACTGCACCTGAAACCGCTTTTCAAAACCAAACTTATGGGATGCAAGGCATAGGGCCCAATATTCCGGTGTTTCAACCAAGACAAAATTCAACCCCTGTCACCCAAAATCCATTCCAAAATCAGCCTTTTCAAAATCCTTTTCAGAATCAGAACCAGTACCGCCAGCAGCCCCAAGTATAGCCTCAACCACAATTTGTTCAACCGCAACCGGCTCAACAAAGACCAGCTTTCCAGAATAGATAGTCTCCCCCTCCATTTAACGACTATGTCTCATATGACAATCCACTCAACCAGGGACAGACCATTACAGAGTTCCTTACTCCGAAGATTTCAAAATATGAAAGCATTCAGGTGCCCGGAATTACTGCAAACCGATACGAGACCAAGCCAGAGGTGATTAGTATGGTGTCTAATAATCAGTTTGGAGGAGGCCCTACCGAAGATCCAGTGGCGCATATTACCCAACTTCTGAGGATGTGCCAACCTTTCAAGATACCTGGAGTAGCTGATGATCAGGTGCGGATGATGTTTTTCCCTTTCTCACTAAGGGATGATGCGCAGAGGTGGTTGGACAGCAATCCTCATCACCACCTCCAGACTTGGGACCAGCTGCATAGTGCCTTCATCAAAGAGTATTTTCCTACATCCAAGGCACTAAAGTTGAAGAAGCG